ATTAAAATATTATGTACATATAAAAGTAAATTTTTTAAAGCTATGCAAACCAATTGGTTCTAACGTCGTACCCTTTTTTTGTTTCTTATATCGGAAACACTCTGAAAACTCTCGGCGCTTTCCCTATCTGATTCATCGTTGTCAAGTATCCCTTCATTATTTATTATTTCCTCGTGACTTGGTTTTCTTTTTGTCGATGATCTCCTTTTCTTTGGAGGAGATTTTGTGACTTCCGCGTCATCATCAACCGGTGCAGACCGTTTGATCGATGAAGGCATTTCGTTGTTGTTCAAAGAGTTGTTTGCTTCCTCATCGCCGAATGATGGTGGTGCAACGTTACCATTCCTTGATTTGCCTAATGACGGGGTGACGAGCTCTTCATTATTTTCTTGATTCTCGGAATTCGAGTCGACATGATGATCTCTCGAATTACGTTTCGGATCTGACGGACGACGTTTCTTTTTAAGCGACGATTTTGCGTTATTACCTATTATCGGGAATACAAATTGATGAAAAAAAAGAAAAGGCAACCACGTCATGCATTCTTTCTATCATCAATTCTCACCTTTTTTACTGACACCTTTAGTCGCAGCATTGCTGACCCTGAGAAGGTATGAATAATAAGGTTCCCACTGTTTTTCTGATTCTATCACATCTATTTTTCGTGATTCAAGTTCTTCTTTGAGGATTGATTCTCTGAATAATAATATTATTATTATGTTACCGGTTGAATTAGAAGTGGCTTAAAAACCAATGACAAGTTTTTTATTTACATTTTATGCGCGTCACTGGAGCCAACTCCGGTTAACAGCATGCCTAATATTTTGAAAAATTTGATCATTCTCGGAACGGCTTCAGTATTGTTGGTGCGTTGATACTCCAAGATTTTTGATGTGATATACGAAATTCCTTCTTTGTGTAATTCTACTATGTGTTCAGCATCCCTTAATGATGATTTTTCGCGAGTATCTCGGGATTGTAGTGCATGTGAACAAAGTCGTGCAAGGGAAGAGGTTCCATTCATAGATCCAACACGTCCACTTGCATAGAGCGAATGGGACTAAAGAACAATAAAATATTAGCATGTCACGTTTCAACAAATGTTTTATACAGAAACCGAAAATATCCGAAACCTTTTTCAATGAAGAGATGAAAACGGTCGCAAACTGTTTAGCTTCCCCGGATAATATCTGTTCCTTAAATTCATGTATCAACTTCTTAATAACCTCGTCAAGATCACCTCCAAGGGTTCCAAACTGGCAGAGCACACTGACTGCATGGGATACATGAAACCACCCGCCTCTTACACCACGCAAGAGGGTACCAATAACTTCCATTATATGATATTTTTCTTCTGGATTTATGATAACGTCAACATTTTTTGTTGCTACAATACATGAAAAGATAATTCAGTTATTATTCGTTGTCGGTGTAATAAGGAGGCTTGACATTGTAATCGTAATCAGTTACGTTTTTTGATAGGCCTTTCCGAGTCTTGTATATTTTCATCAATTCCTTGATTTCTCTCCTCGATTTCCTTGTTTTTTCTTTCCTCGATAATTTTTGCTTCAGCTTCGTAATATATGTTTCTATAGTTGTCAATTTCCTCCAAAACAAATTCCTCAATTTTTTCTTGTATATCAGGTTGACAAGGAAGTATTAATTTAGACAGATCAGGCGTGCTTGAATGACGGAACAGATCACTTGAGAAAAGCCAATATATATTTCCCAAAGCGCGAAATGCCTGTTTCAAACATTAGAATGATTTT